ATAGATAGATAGATAGATAGATAGATAGATAGATAGATAGATAGATATAAATATAAGAGAGAGAGAATCTTTATTGTCATTTTTTACTGTGGGCCACATTAAAAATGAAATTTACTTGCTTGCTCTCAAAGAGCACGCATACATAACACACATTTAAACATGCTATATACAACCCATGTATAAGCCTACACCTTTACATATAAATAACGTATAAATATGAATCCCTGTCCATCTTGAATACATAACGGAAGGAGGAAGCTTCACAAGGCTGATGCTGTACGGAACAAAACTGCGAATGAATCTGGATGTCCTGCTTCGGATACCACGGAGCCCCCCCCTCCCAGAAGGTTTGATTCTTCCTTAAAAAGCTTTCCCGATAACCAGAACGCTCATGAAGAAGACCATAATGAAAAAGATCCACATAAAAAAGCGATCCATCACTTTGGCCACTTTTTTCCATTCCGCCCCTTTGGCGTGGTTGGCTTTGTGGCGCCTGACACAATCGGCGATGTATTCAATATTCTGGATTAATGCCCGGTAACACGAGCAGCAGCCGACCGTCTCCCGTGGATTGTCCTCTGGATGTCCGTGGGCCTTGTCCTCTCCATCAAACGGCTCCTTGAGGGGGTCACCGTCCCTGCTGCCCCCCTTACTAAGGGGCTTCCTTCTCCCTTCATACCCACCTCGCTCTTTTGAACTTGCATGGGCTGCTTTGGACTCCGAGCCCTGCTCCCCCGCACACTGCAAACTGGTGCAGTTTTCGCCCATGTCGTACACAAAGAAGATCTTGGACATGTAGTCCAAAATGACCACCCTTGCCCACCGAGGGACGGGCTTGGCTCCAGAGCCACAATAATGAATGTTCATTATAATGATGGTGAGGGCGGTCGAGGCAGTGATCATGGCCATGGTTGCGATGTAATATTTACCTAGGAGATAAAAAATTAGAGCCACAGAGAAGGAGAAATGATATATTGCTGGTATTTTATTTTATTTTTTAAAAAAAAGGTGGAAAAGGAAAAAAAAGTATTTTTCCCAGTAAGTTCAAAGAAATTGAAAGTATATAGTTAAAATGGAATGGAATGGAATAGAATAAAATGGACTAGAATAGATATTGGAATACATAATAGAATAGAATAGAATAGAATAGAATAGAATAGAATAGAATAGAATAGAATAGAATAGAATAGAATAGAATAGAATAGGAAATATGGAATGGAATAGAAAATAGAATGGAATAGAATAGAATAGAAAAGAAAAGAAAATATGGAATGAAATAGAAAATAGAATAGAATAGAATAGAATAGGATAGAATAGAATAGAATAGAATAGAATAGAAAATATGGAATGGAATAGAAAATAGAATGGAATAGAATGGAATGGAATGGAATGGAATGGAATAGAATAGAATAGAATAGGAAATATGGAATGGAATAGAAAATAGAATGGAATAGAAAAGAAAAGAAAATATGGAATGAAATAGAAAATAGAATAGAATAGAATAGAATAGAAAATATGGAATGGAATAGAAAATAGAATAGAATAGAATAGAATAGAATAGAAAATTGGAATGGAATAGAAAATAGAATACAACAGAACAGAACAGAACAGAACAGAACAGAATAGAATAGAATAGAATAGAATAACAGAGCTGGAAGGGACCTTGGAGGTCATCTAGTCCAACCCCCTGCTCAAGCAGGAAACCCGATATTATTTCAGACAAATGGCTACTCCAATCTCTTCTTAAAAACGTCCAGTTAGCATTAATAAAATGGAATTACAGGCCCTTCTCTTTTTGCATCTTTGATCTAGAAGAGACCACCGGCTACAAAAAGGATAGATGACCACTAGATAGCAGCAGAGCTAAAGTTTTCTTCAATGTTTTTGTTCCCACTTAGAATCAACGACTAGACATTTGCAACCCAGCTAGTAGTTTTACTATCAGCAGATGTTTTAAATATATGATTCTGCTGACTTGGGAGAAAGTAGTGTGGGTCAACCTGTATCTCCAAGAAGAGCTATCCCTGTTAACCTATTCTCCAAAGCGCCTGAAGACAGGACAAGAAGCAACGGATGGAAACTAATCAAGGAGAGAAGCAACCTAGAACTAAGGAGAAATTTCCTGACAGTGAGAACAATTAACCAGTGGAACAACCTGCATCCAGAAGCTGTGAATGCTCCATCACTGGAAGTTTCTAAGAAGAGATTGGACAGCCATTTGTCTGAAATGGTATCTCTTGTTTGAGCAAGGAGTTGGACTAGAAGACCTCCAAGGTGCCTTCCACCCTTATTATATTATGAAGTTATGGGTGGGCTCCAGGCCTAACAAAGAGAAGGATTTGGAGTGACTTGATAGCTGACTTCCAATACTTCAGGAGTTGTCATAGGTAACAGGAGATCAACCTATTCTCCAAAGCAACGGATGGAAACTAACCAAGGAGAGAAGCAACCTAGAACTAAGGAGAAACTTCCTGACAGTGAGAACAATTAACCAGTGGAACAACCTGCCTCCAGAAGTTGTGGGTGCTCCATCACTGGAGGTTTTTTAGGAAGCGATTGGACAGACATTTGTCTGAAATGGTATAGGGCAGGGGTAAACAACCTTGGCTCTTTTATGACTCGTGGACTTCAACTCCCAGAATTCCTGAGCCAGCCATGACTCCACAAGTCATAAAAGAGCCAAGGTTGCCTACCCCTGGCATAGGGTCTCCTGCTTGAGCGGGTGGGGGGGGGAGTTGGACTAGAACAGGACTTTTCAACCTTTTCACCCATTGTACCACTATTAGGATATGGCAGCATCCAAGTAGCACCAGTTGCCTAGCAAGGTGTCAAAAACTTGATGACCAAAAAAAAAAAAAAAGGAAAAAAGTGATGAAGTACAGGTAGTCCTCGACTTATAACAGTTCGTTTAGTGACTCTTCGAAGTTACAATCGCACTGAAAAAAGTGCCCCCTAAGCCACAGCCAAGCAAGACACCTGCCTGCCCATCTAGCGGTGCCCTTCCTCCTGTCCGAGGTTTCCATTGTTGTGAGCATTTCTGTTGAGGATTGGCAGCGGGGGTGGGGTGGGGGGGTGTTTGGTTTTTATTCCCCCATTCTGCTGGGTGGTTGCAGCAGGTTTTGGTCCCTTCACATGACCCTGGGACACTGTGACCGTCATAAATATGAATCGGTTGCCAAGCATCTGAATGTAAATCCCAAGACCCTGGAGATGCTGCAACATTCCAGCTGATCGGCGCTTCTTCTGGGCTCAGCAGAAGCACCAGGATCAGTGCTGCTTTCCAGCTGGAGCCTGGCGCCGATCCTGGCGCTTCCACTGAGCCCTGACAGTCCCGAAGAAGCGCCGCTCAGCTGGAAAGTGGCACTGATCCTGGCGCTTCCACTGAGTCCTGACAGCCCTGCAGCTCCAGCCGTCTCTCGTTCAGGCTTGTGCGGTGCTGCCACCGGTTCAGCTCATTCTCCTCCCCCGCTACCACTTTTCTAGGATGGTCGCGTACCACCTGCCAGGTGCCAATGTACCACGGGTGGTACCCGTACCACTGGTTGAAAAGCCCTGGACTAGAAGACCTCCAAGGTCCCTTCCAACTCTGCTATTCTGCTATTATGTTTGATATTTGGATGTACCAGCATGGGGACACCTTTGACGTTGACCCCCAATGGAAATTCATCCCCTTTGAAGCTTTATAAATAGAGGCACGTACCTATCAAGGGGACGTTGTCCGACGGGGGCATGCTTTCTGCCACCATGAGCTGGAAGACGGTGAGAGAAAGCAGAACCGTAACTCCGAGAGATACTTTTTCTCCAGAGTCTGCCGGAAGGTAGAATCCCAGCGGAGCCAGAAACGATATCAAGAGACAAGGAAGCAGCAGGTTAAAGATGTAGAAAGAGGACTTCCTTTTCAAGACGAGCGTGAAGGTAACATCTGGATAAGGCTCGGAGCAGCAACCGTAAGTGATCACGTTCTTCACCGCCGGCATGCCATGGATCTCCCACTCCACGTCTTCGATGAGATCCGAGAGGTCGCCCGAATCTAGCGTGTTGAAGATGTCAACTTGGTTCCCGTTGTAGGTCCAGGAACCGAAGGTCAGATTGCACTGCTGGCTATCGAAAGGAAAGTAGGAGATGTCCACCACGCACGAGCTTTTGGTGATGGCTGGGGCATCCCAAGTGATCTTCCCATCGTACCTCAAGACAATGTTGGTGTTCACCGGCTCAGAGAAGTCATCGTCGGCCCTAAAAACAAAAAGGCAGAAGAACACACAACAGCACACCTAATAATAATAATAATAATAATAATAATAATAATAATAATAATAATAATAATAGTAAAGTTGGAAGGGACCCTGGAGGTCATCTAGTCCAACCCCCTGCTCAGGCAGGAAACCCTATACCATTTCAGACAAATGGCTGTCCAGTCTCTTCTTGAAAACCTCCAGTGTTGGAGCATTCACCGCTTCTGGAGGCAGGTTGTTCCACTGGTTAATTGTTCTAACTGTCAGGAAGTTTCTCCTTAGTTCTAGGTTGCTTCTCTCCTTGATCAGTTTCCACCCGTTGCTTCTTGTCCTGCCTTCAGGTGCTTTGGAGAATAGCTTGATATGGGGAGTGGAATATCTTGATTAGGAGGGTTGCCTCCTAATGGCTGCAGGCCAGCTCCCTGGGGGACAATTCAGCATTGTGTGAATCATTTCGTTCAGTGACTTTTATTATTGGGCACCATGTTTCCCTCGAAATGATTGTAACTCTTGTATGTCTGGATTGACTTTATTTTATTACTCTTGGCCACAGTTCCGTTGATAACCAATTTAAATTTTGTATTTGTTGAAGTGTGGCTGTATGCATAATGGTATTTTTCGAGAGCTGAAGGGAACAAAATTTCCTTTTAATGTATGCTGATTAGTGTACATTTAAAGTGACAACAAAAGCATTCTATTCTATTCTATATTTCTATTCTGTATTTCTATTCTATATTTCTATTCTGTATTTCTATTCTATATTTCTATTCTGCATTTCTATTCTATATTTCTATTCTGTATTTCTATTCTATATTTCTATTCTGTATTTCTATTCTATATTTCTATTCTGTATTTCTATTCTATTCTATTCTATATTTCTATTCTGTATTTCTATTTTACTCTACTCTATTCTATTCTATATTTCTATTCTATATTTCTATTCTGTATTTCTATTCTATAATTCTATTCTGTATTTCTATTCTATTCTATTCTATTCTGTTCTATTCTATTCTATATTTCTGTTCTTTATTTCTATTTTATATTTCTATTCTGTATTTCTACTCTACTCTACTCTACTCTACTCTACTCTACTCTACTCTACTCTACTCTACTCTACTCCTCTGTTCTATTCTATTCTATTCTATTCTATTCTATTTTCTATTCTATTCTATTCTATTCTATTCTATTCTATTCTATTCTATTCTATTCTATTCTATTCTATTCTCAAAGAAGAATATAGTTTTCCTATGCAATCCAGCCACACCTGCCTTCCATTCCACTTTCAGAAGAAAGTGAACCAGAGAGGATCCTGTCCAAATGTAGAAAAATACTTCAACTGTCTCCGAGGGTGGCAGTGACTGACTTTTTGACAAACTCTCTCAAACCAACATCTCAGGAGGACCTCCGAGCTCCTTGCACCACAAATAATTGCCAAATTCTTGGGGCAGGCTTTTAAAAAGATAACCATCCCATGATGCAGGGAACCGCTGGTTTCATTTCTGCAAACTGCTGCTCAAATCACTCCAGACAGACTTACTTGTTGTAAAGTACAATGTCGGGCCTCCATACAAGATTGCTGGGGATCCGGATGGAATCTAAGCCGTCATATCTGTCTTTGTCCCACGTCAGAAAGGCGTCGTACCACGTCTGGCGAATCCACAGATAGACTGTCAGAATTTGGTTTCTCTCATCCTATAATAAGATCATGGTCGCCTTAGATTGGGAATGTGGACTCGCCCCAACTTAAGCCTCTAAATAAAAATGGTTCCATTTTCTTTCTTAGTATGTAGAGTTTATCACTGAAGCAGTAAGCATGAGCTTAAGTGGACTCCAGAAGATGGTAGAGGACAGGAAGGCCTGGAGGAACGTTGTCCGTGGGGTCGCGATGGGTCGGACACGACTTCGCAACTAACAACGACATAGTTTATTATAGATCAAGTGTACTGCTGATTAGACAGTATCTGTCACCAGTTTAAGTTGGTGGATTCATCAATTCTGGAATTATCTGTCATTATCCATGATTTCAAACTTCCTGATCTTTGCTAGCCTTTCAAATTCTCTCTTATCATGATTACGGATCATTGATGGCAGACGTTTGTTCCTGCCATCATAAGATGAAGGTCACATGGACACAGGTAGTCCTCAACTAATAATAATAATAATAATAATAATAATAATAATAATAATAATAATAATAATAATAATAATAATAAGTATAATAAGTATAATAAGTATAATAAGTATAATAAGTATAATAAGTATAATAAGTATAATGATGATGATGATGATGATAGATAGATAGATAGATAGATAGATAGATAGATAGATAGATAGATAGATAGATAGATAGATAGATAGATGTTTTTCTACTGTTAATATGAATATACCCGGGATTCGTATTTTTAAAGTAATTAGGGACAATAGATAGATAGATAGATAGATAGATAGATAGATAGATAGATAGATAGATAGATAGATAGATAGATAGATAGATAGATAGATAGATAGATAGATATAGAAGAGATAAAGATAGATAGATAGAAATAAAGAGAATAATAATAATAATAACAAAGATAGATAGATAGATAGATAGATATAGATCAATAGATAGAGATAGATAGATATAGAAGAGATAAAGATAGATAGAAATAGAAGAGATAATAATAATAATATTTTATGCTCTCGGCATAAAGAAGGGTAGACATGAATATAATAATAATAACAACAACAACAACAACAACAACAACAATAATAATAATAATAATAATAATAATAATAATAATAAAGTTGGAAGGGACCTTGGAGGTCATCTAGTCCAACCCGCTGCTCAGGCAGGAAACCCTATACCATTTCAGACAAATGGCTGTCCAGTCTCTTCTTAAAAACTTCCAGTGTTGGAGCATTCACAGCTTCTGGAGGCATTTAAGAAAAGATTGGACAGCCATTTGTCGGGAATGGTACAGGGTCTCCTACCTGAGCAGGAGGCCTAGAAGACCTCCAAGGTCCCTTCCAACTCTGTTATTCTGTAGAACTGGGACCATCCAGATTTTGGGGTTCAGAGGGGGAAGCAATGGTATGGGATGTACGTTCCCCCCCCAAATCCCCTTCATGTATAGAACTTTCTCTGCCTTCCAATCATCCGGTTACACCCACTCACACACAAGGTAGCTTGGTTAGCGAAAAATAGTTACAAACCTTACAACCGCTTCTGTCGATGTAAGGAATAATTATATAAACTATCTGTAACTTCTTAAATTCCAGCCAACCCAACGAGATTTGAATCGGGGGGGGGGGCGGGAGAAAAACTTTCAAAGTTTATTATTCTGCACCCCTTATTTTGATGCTTACCATATCTTTGATTTGGGAAAGCGTGATCTGAAGAGTAACATTCAGAACCATATCTGTGTCTTGAACGGGGCGGAGAGCGTTGGAGTAGCCTTCAAACAGCTCGTTAAAGAGCATCTGAGCATATTTTCCTTGGGCTGCGTCAGTGCCTGGGAGTAACAAAATTTAGATATTTTTTTTTCAAACCACAGTTGCTTGAAAAAGACACCTGCAAAAGATGGTTGTGTTCAGGGGAACCGACTGGCAACGAGGTGGGAAAAATAGATTGCAGATGTTCTGGGTGAAGCTTCAATGCATGTAAAATAAGCCCAGTGGTCACTCACCACGGCCTAATTGGTGGGAATCTTTTATTTATTTATTTATTAAGTTTCTACGCTACCCATCTTCATTGTCCAAAAGCAACATCACCATCTAGCATTGTGGGTGAGCAACTTTAAAGAGCCAGTTTAAGAAACTTTTAAAGTAAGGTGACCAACTTTTTTACAATGAAAAGGAGGACACAAATAAATGGAAGAAAAAAATATCGTAAAAGCTGGCTCGGCCCATGGAAGGTCAACGGCTCGCCGCGCCCCCGCCCGCAGCCCCCCTTCCAGCATCGCTGCCCTGCCGTGTAGAGCGGGCCCCGCGACTCCCAAAGTACCAGCCGC